CTGGCTGGGGAATTCTGGGAGTTGAAGTCCACCCATTTTAAAGTGGCCAAGGTTGAGAAACACTGATTTAGTTTGTTTACAGTTCAGAGCACTGTGAATTCCCCCAAAGGTTAATTCAGTAACCCCATTAAGGGTGTTGTGTGAATGCAAGCAACATGCGGATCCAGGTCAGCCTTTTTGTCCTGTATCTCCCAATAAGAATACTCTATAGCTTTCTTTCTCCAGCTCCCTGCCCCCTTCCTAGTTTCCTTTTCAGCTATTTCACTGCCATGACTTTTCTGTTCATCACCCTTGACTGCTTTGGGCCAGCTGGCAGCAGGGGCAAATGAGACAGAGACTGGGAGGATCACCTCTGCCCGGAATGGATGGCGCAGAGTACCGTTTTACAAGATGAACCTTTCTATCACTGTTGCTTCTCAAGAAACAATTCCAGCACCCACCTTTGGCTCCAGAAATTAATTCCAAGTGGAATATTCAGCCCTGCAGACTGTTCTGCTCCCAAGACGACGTTACATATTCCTCCATGGCTTATGGAACTCTTGGGAAGACTTACCAGGACTATCACTTTTTAGCCATAACTGAATAGTGTGCAAAACCTGATCTCTGGGGAGCCCTTGGAGACCAAGGATCCCACAGAGACAAAGGTCACACCCAGATGGGGACCTCAGGATGATTAAGACGGATTCCCAAGCCCTCTTGTCCTTCTCCACTTCGAGAGACGGTTTTTTTGCAGGGCGTTTGCAGAAAAGAGATCACCTGGACCAGCCAGGAAAAGCCCCAAAGGAAAAACCCCAGCTCTGTTTTCTTCCTGGCAAAGTCTGTACCTTCAACAGCTGCAGGAAGATGGAAATACCACTGGCACACCTTTCTAAATCACCATCTTGCTGCCCTGGGAAAAACCCAGCCTGCAGGTTCCCTGCCAGTGTTGACGACGTTATAGGCCAGCTTGAGCGTAGCTCAAAGTTCCTTTGGGTCAGAGTTCTCCAAGATGATCTCCACGATGGCTTGGAGCCTCCATTCTGTCCTGTGAAAACCTTCTTTTAGACCCAAGGCCCACCCTAGAGCACTGTGCTCAACCTTAGCCACTTTAAGACGTGTTGAAGTTGAAGTTGAAACATAACTGGGAGTGGAAGTCCACATGTCTTAAAAGATGCCAAGGTTGAGAAATACCGCTTTAGGTGGCACAAACATTGGGACAAGCCATTTCTGCCCCATTTATTTGATCAGTATTTATGTGATCCAGCAACAACTGGACAGAAAGAAAATCAGGGGACCTTTTTTCGAACCCGGCTCCAACCTGATGCTATAAAGACCTTTCCTCCATTACTTTGGGGGGGGGGGCACAAGAAATGCACAATTATTACTGATTTCTTCTGCACAGTCCAAAACAGCCAAAGCACATTGCAGAAAAGGCCAGCCTAGCCATAAGCCACAAATGAATGTATGGGGTATTCTGTCTTACTCTTCTGAGCCTCTCTGACCCAAGTGCCCTTTCCCCACATTGACCTTCAAAGAAACCTGTGCTGTCTGATTAGGGCAGTAGCCGCTGTTTATGTGGTCTTTCCTGGAGGGCAATTTTTGCCAACCTTCTGCAAATCCGCTCCTTTCAAAAGGAGTCCATCAAACATTCCATCAAATAAGTTGCAAACCAGCCCTTTCTTTCTTTCTTCTTTTTTTTTTTTTTTTTTAATTATTCCATAAATGAGACAGCGGGCCTGACGTTGCGAGAAGGGGCATCAGCAGCCGGTCATGAGCTGATCTGAAGGCTGGCTGAAAGCTTTGGGCGTGCAGGGAATGAAAGCTGAGTTTGTGCGTGAGAGAAAAAGTGCCGCTGGGTCTGCTTGACGAGGCTGCGTTCTGCGGTTTTTAGATGTTCTGATTTGCAAGCAACAAGCCGGCTTTGTGGAAGCATGGCGTAGGGGAGCCGGCTGGGGTCCTGCCTAGATATTATGGCATCAAGGCCTGGGGAACCTGTGGCCTTGAGCCATAGCAACTGAACTACATTCCCTAGCCGCCGAAGCAACAGGGTTAATAGTGAGACGCGCTAGGCGCTGTAGTTTGGCCATATTTAGAGAGACACTGGTTCTCACTTCCTAGAATGTGGGCTGTTCTTCATCCCTGGTCAGGGGAAATGTGGCACTTTAGAGCAAATGTGTGGGCAGCCACCGTATTTTCGGGCTGCTGTTCTCTGGCTGGTTACAGACCCCACCTAGTCAGCAGCATTTGTCCCACGTGCTAATCTAGTTGGATTGAACTTTAGTTTGTTTTGGGGGGTTACATAGATGTGCAACCCCCAAGCCCTTTGAAACAGAAACTAACCAAATGTATTGAATGAACTTAGAAAAAGGGGTTAACTTAGTCACCAAGTTAAGGTTTCTGCCAACACAGCTGGGTGTGTCCAGTTGTGATTTTAGTTACAGTAATTCCAATCTCAGAGCCTGGCTATAAAAAATAAAAGAAGGTATAGTGTGGGGAGGGGGGATGCTAAGAGCAGAAGGAAGGCGTTAGTGTCCCCACCCCACCCCGTTTTACATTCTGCAGCAGATCCATTTTCTTGATTGAGACTTGCAGCCACGGTTTCATTTAGAGTTTCAGCTTGGGATAAGCAGAAAGAATTGAGCATTGCCACTTCTCTTAACTTGTTTGAGAAAAATTTGTCTCTTCCTCCTGCCCCTGACTTGAATCATATTTTCGGGGACTTCGTTTCAGTTGCAAAATCATGTTTTCCATTCCACTGGCCAGAATGCATTGATACAATCTCGTCTCCCTTTTGGAGTGTGTAAGGAATGGCTAGATTGGGAAATGTAGCATTTTCTGTTGGTCTAAAGCAGTGTTGTTCCAACCTTGCTTCCCCCCTTTCCTTGTGATGCTGAACCTACGCAGGATCACACCAACACGCACGCCTGGGGGGGGGGCGTGCGGG